CTCTTTCACCAACGAATAGTGGGATTGGCCATCACACTATAATGCCCCCAAGGCTGAAAGGGCGAGCGTGTTTGGTGTGATGGGGATTCGAACCTGCGACCCGCAAATTGCGAGTCGAGCACACTAACCACTTGGCCATGCTGGGCCCAAAAATTAAAAAGAAGGCAAAGAGAGCAGTAGCAGCGGCGATGAATGAGGCAATTAAAAATTTGGTATAAATACGGAGATACCAGAAGGAATGAAGAAGGTATACAGAATAGCCAAGCAAAGGGAAATTGCAAAAAGGGAAATTGGAGTGATCAAAGTAACTTAGGACAAAGAAGGGAAATTCCTGAGGAATAAAAAGGCAGTAAAACAGAGATGAAAACAGTACTACCAGGAACTACTTAACACCAAAAATGAGGCAAAATAAGCGAAGAAAACACCACCAATAGCAGGCCCAGTATTGGACGTCAGTAGAGAGAAGGTAAAAAAAAAGCAAAAATAAAAATGAAGATAGGAAAGGTGGGAGGTCAATCAAAGACTGCCATTGACATAGTCAAGGCATTAGGAGATGATGGGCGTAAGTATGTTTGGACCCTGTTGAAAAACATCTGGAGGAAAGAGTGGCTACCAACAAAATGGAGAGAGAGCCTACTGATACCCATCTAGAAGCAGAAAAGGAGATGCTCATAAGTGTGAAAACCATACAGGAATAAAACTGGTGGAGCAAAATAAAATTTCGGTTTTGATCTGGGAGAGGAACAATAGATGTAGTCTTCATTTTGTAAAAGTTGCAGGAGAAGTATCTTGAAGGAAATAAGAAGTTATACTATGCATTTGTAGATTTGGAAAAAGTGAATGACAGGGTGCCATGAAAATTAGTATACTGGTGTCTTCAAAAGAGAGGAGTGTCCAAAAAGCTGATCAGACTAGTAAGAGCCATTTATGAAGGAGCGACGGTATATGGAGAAGTGGACAAGTTTGAAGTAAACGTTGGGCTACACCAAGGATTAGCCAATAGCCCCACAGTTGTTCGCTACTGTCACTGATGAGTAAAGAGTGCTGTATGGTATCCCTGTGGGAGATGTTATTCGCCAACGACCTTGTCCTAACAGCTGAAAGTGACCAGGAGCTAGAAACGCAAATTAAAGTGTGGCAGAAGAGTTTGGAAAGAAGAGGATTCAAAGTGAATGCAAGATAAATGGAAGTCATGATGAGCGGAAGAGGTAGAAATAAGAAAGTCAAAATCATATACGTAAACAAAAAGCCACTGGAACAGGTAGAAGAGCGTAGGTATGTGGAAAGTACAATCCAAAGTGAAGGAGAACTTGTTACAACTGACTTTGTACCAGTCCAAATCCCTCTATATAATTATGAAAAAAACATTGAACTTATACTGTAACTCTCCAAAATGTCTTCTAGAGGTTTTGTTGTGATAAAAACTATGAACTTTCACACTAATTTGTAGCTTTCCAAAATGTCTTTATGAGTCTTAATATAATAACATTTTTGAAATTAGATTTACAGTGAGTTTCGTTTTTACACTTGAGAAAGAATCTTGCTGAGTCTTTATATTGAATCAAGCAGGATGTTGCTGAAGAGAAGCCCTAGATTGATTGTATTACGGTTGTGAAAGACTCATCATCCTTCATGAGAATATGGTTATGACTCATCATCCTGCATGAGAATATGGTTAAGACTCATCATCCTGCATGAGCATATGATTAGTACTCATCAACTTGCACGAGAATATGGTTAAAACTCATCATCCTGCATGAGAATATGGTTAAGACTCATCATCCTGCATAAGAATATGGTTAAGACTCGTCATCCTGCATGAGAATATGGTTAGGACTCGTCATCCTGCATGAGAATATGGTTAGGACTCGTCATCCTGCATGAGATTATATTTAGGATTTGCCTCCCAGTGGCACAGCGGTATGTCTGCAGACTTACAATGCTACAATCCAGGTTTTGATACCCGTGGTGGGCACAGCACAGACAGCCAATTGTGTAGCTTTGTGCTTAATTATAAACAAACAAAATAGTTAAGACTCATAATCCTGCACAAGAATATGGTTAGGACCCATCATCCTGCACGAGAATATGGTTAGGACTCATTATCCTGCACGAGAATATGGTTAGGACTCATCATCCTGCATGAGAACATGGTTAGCACTCATCATCCTTCAATCAAATTTGACAGCCTAACAGTACTTCACTTGCATGTAATATGTTGCTCTCCAGAGATAATGCAAAAACACATACAATTTCAGAAATCAATATTTCGTGAATCCCAAAAGTAGTGAATGTTTTAGCCAATAGAGCTATTTTATATGTGTCGTGTTTAATATCTCTTTGTACACACATTCTTTCATTGCTGTTCCATTTTTTATGTTTGGAATATATCCCATATCAAAATGTAAAAAAAACACAACTAGTATATTATGCCACTTTGGAGTTACTTTTCTTCCAGATCCAAATTAAAAGACTCTACCAAACACTCTCAAATATTGGTTTATTTCAATATCACTTACATCTATACAAATTTAGCATTTGAATCTTCAATCTGACATAACTGTTTTGAATTCACCACCAGCTTTCCAGGGCAACAAACACATAAAGAGCCAGAGTACTTACATGTTGACTTTCAACACTGTTCACACACACGATACAATTACTGTCTAACAATGAAGCTTAAAAAAGATAAATTTGGTGATAAGAACAGATTTTGTTTATTTGATTTTAGTCAGTGGGTGCAAGAATTAACTCACATATACTCAGGGTTATTATGCAAGTGTTCTTTATAAATAATGTATCCCTTTACAGTCAACTATCTTTTGCCTCATAAGCAAAACTGATGACAGTGAATTTGGAGAAATGTTTCATCCTTTCAAAAATCATTTAATCATGCAAGTAACCACTGTCTGAACCTTTGAAATAAAATAGTTTAAAATCATAAACAGATGACTTTTCACATATAATATCATACAGTTGTCTACATTTTGTACAAATCATTCACAAGAGAATTCAGAAAAAGTAAAAACTTCCACTTTTGTGGCAAACTAGATTATATTTTAACTTTGTATAAATAACAAATTATTTCATCATTAATAAGCTATTACAGAAGCAACATTACCAAAAATGGTAGATTCATGTATCAAGGTTCTCCACAAACAGCATCTCTGATTGACTGAGAGCAGTTTCTTCGAAGGATGGCAGTTCTGGATTGTCTCTTGTAGGATCACAAGGAAAAACTTTACGTGGAAAATTTGTCACAATCTATAATCTATCTGGTGATTGGTCATGGCAAGAAAAAAAAAGTAGTAAAGATACTGCAGGAGAGAAAACAAGTGATTCTATTTTGTAAGTGGAAGTTTTTTGAACAATATAAAAAAATTAAAATTTACTACAGAATAAAACCAATTACACAATTATGTTTTACAGGATCAACTGCATTAATTTCCATACTTTATTTGAATGTGAAAAAGACTAACTATGAAAATTAAAGGTACACATACCTGAAATTTAATAAATAATCTAGACATTATTGACTTCTTATCATAAAGTTGAACCCACAAATTAAACCATAAAATTAACATATCCTTTTGTTCTTCAACTTTGTTTCTTATAAGTACAAACAATGCAAGAGCTTAGGCTAAACTTAATTATTAGTAACTAAAAAAGGCTTCACTTTAAAACATGAAAGTTGAAACTGTAATATAAATATTCAAGTTAAGAACTCAACCTAACTTAAAACATGAAAGTTGAAACTATGATATAAATA